TGGGAGATTTGTTGAGACGTCCGAGGCTCTTGACCCATATTGGTGACCTGTTGAGGCCGTCTTGGGCCGCTTTGGGTGGTTATCGGAACTCTCGTGGGTGGGGGCCACTGGCTGTTTGCCGGGAAGTCCGCATGCAAATGCTCGAGCCTCGCGCGAGCTACGCGCTCGCATAAATTATGGTCGACGCCGAAGATGGCATCGACATCTGAACATCGCGTGACATGTCTTAGAATTGGCGGCCCCTTGTTCCCTACTCCCTACCTAGGCTCTGCCTAGAGGGTTCGTACTCTCTTTCTGAAAGGGGCCGGGCAGTGCACACCGCCCCGGGCGGTTCCCCCAGTATCCGCCCCGCGGTTTCCCCAGTTACGTCCCCTTAGCTTAGCGTTGTTTATCTCATCTTAGCTTAGCTTGTTTCATCTTAGCTTAGCTTAGCTTCATCTTAGCTCAGGTTTATCTTAGCTTAGCTTACCTTCATCTTAGCTTCGCTGAGCTTTAGTATAGCAGAGCAAAGCATAGCATAGCGTAACATAGCATAGCGCAGCATAGCATAGCATATCATAGCCCATCATAGCATAGCATAGCATAGCGCAGCATAGCATAGCATATCATAGCATAGTACATAGCATAGCATAGCATAGCATAGCGCAGTTTATCATAGCATAGCATAACAGAGCATAGCATATCATAACACAACATGACATAGCATAGCATAGCATAGCATAGCATAGCATAGCGCAGCATAGCATAGCATAGCATAGCGCAGCATAGCATGGCATAGCATAGCATAGCATAGCAACTGATGCTGCTTTCCTAGGGGCTCCAACTTCTAGGTAGGGTCGCACTGGGTAATGTTTGCTTGATCATGATTCGTACCATCTCTTTGAGCTTCCCTAATTGCGATATGGTCCCCGTGTTTCCGTCGCCCCTCTTGCTCTTCAGTCCCCCCGTATGTTGCATGCTCGTTACGTCTGATCTGCACACCTGCTATGCATGTATGGTGTGTTTGTGTGTTATTTCCGATGCGCGATGTGCATCTTACGTAACTACGTGTGATCTGCACCCCTGCTATGTAATCATGCTACGCGTGTTATTTCATGCTGTGGACATGTTTATTGTGCCTGTGAGATTTGATCGTGCTAGTTATGCCAATGGTTATTATATACACGACGCATGGATGTTCTATATGTTTGTCATGCACGCATTTGAACTGTTTATGCTATGTGGGTCTGTCATCGGATCTGCTGTCATTTGTCATTGGCGTGAAGCGTGATACAAGGGATCATCGGGAAACCTTGGGGCGGGAACAATTTCGTGACAAACAATCCGACAAACCCAGCCTGACGGGTGGGGAGCTGCGCGTATCGTCGACGCGCGCGGTTCGGAGCAGATCGAGTTGAGACGACGGCAACTCAAAATCGGTCCCTGGACCCGCCCTGGGGTCCAAACGCACAAGCTTGTTCCGCGCTGTGTCCAGCCGTAGCGACACATAATCCCCCGGAAGGCCAACTACCGTTGTCTCTCAGCTGGCCCTCTTCTGATTCTCGACACAAAACATCCACCAACCCCACCGTGACTGGTGGGGAGCTGCGCGTATCGTCGACGAGCATGTTAAAGGGGGAGTCAGACAACGGCAGCTCAAAATCAGCGTGTGTGTGTGTGTGTGTGTGTGTGTTTGTGTGTGTTTGTGTGTTTTTGTGTGTTTTTGTGTGTGTGTTGTGTGTTTTGTGTTTTTGTATGTTTTTTGTGTGTTGTTGTGTGTGTGTGCGTGTGTGTGTGTGTGTGTTTTGTGTTTTGCGTTTTTCCCACAGTGTGTTTATGTTGTGTGTTTTTGTGTGTTTGTGTGTACGTTTTTTCTCACAGTGTATGCTTTTTCCCACAGACTCCCGGGGTTCAAACGCGCAAGATTTCTGCGCTGCGTCCAACCGTGGCGACGGGAGCCCCCCCCCAGCGAAGACCAACTACCGCTGTCTCTCAACTCGCCCTCCTCTGAATCTCCAAAGGGCGGAGCGGAATAGATAAACATCAATGCTTGGCAGTCCGCGCGGATTTCTCGGATCGGCGCTGGACCCCCTCCTCCCTGGCGCGCGGACCACGCCAGGGGCCATGGGCGGCGCCGGAGACGCCACCGGGGGGCCTGGCGCCGATCCAAGCGGAGCTCCGAAACTTTTTGTATTACTCCCCTCTGTTCTTAACTAGCCCGACGACACGCCAAAACACTTACCGGGACGCATGCGAACCCTGTCACAAAGGGTTTCGGTGAAACTCCCTGGAATCTTCCTGTGAAGCCGCGCACCGTGTGAGGGGTGTGCCAAAACTGGCCTTAGGACGCATGTGAGCCCTGCTATTGAGGCTTTCGGTGGAGCTCCCTACGAGGCCACGAACCGTGTGATGTGTGCGTGCGTGCGTGTGCCCAACTCTGCCAGGGGACATGTGTGAACCCTGACGCTGAGGCCTTCGGTGGCGCCCCCCATGAGGCCACACGCCCCGAGGAGGCCCGCGAGCAAGCCGCGGTCCGCATCATGCGCCCCAAAGAGCGCCAAGGAACCCGGGAAAAAAACGGCGACGAAAGATCCTGCGAAGACGTAGTGCACTCCACGAGAAAACGGGAAACGGCGACGCCCAACCTCGGGGGGGTACCCACTGGAGTCTCCGTTGAGACGGGTGATCTTCTTGTGTATGCAGGTTCTTCTTCGATAGGATGGAATGGCATCCCTGTCTCCGGGTCCGCCGTACTTCGGGCGATTTCGCGAGTAGGGCGGAAAATTCGGCCCTACTTTGATCTCGATGTTCGTCCTACTTTGCCGTCGCTGTTTCCTGAGGGAACAACAAGAGACCGATACAGCTCCTCCCAGGACCTCTCCCAGGATGCGTTCTAACCAAAATCCGCCGGCCCCCTTGTAGGGCCACCAGGCTGCGAGGCGCGTGATTCGCAGTTTCCTGTACCAGTTGTAGTTTCTAGTTTCCAGTGTTACAGTTCTGCTTCTTGCTGGTTACTGTAACTAGTTGATTGACCGCGCGAGGGGAGGGAGGCCCAAACCAGATTTTTAGCACCACCTGGGCGCGTTGTCTGAATTGCTGGGGGGGCTCAAAATCGACACCCCTCACGCAGATCCGCGGGGTCAGGGTCCAAAAACACAGGGGATTTGCCACATTTCTGAAATTCGGTGCCACCCCTCACGCAGATCCGCGGGGTCAGGGTCCAAAAACACAGGGGATTTGCCACATTTCTGAAATTCGGTGCCACCCCTCACGCAGATCCGCGGGGTCAGGGTCCAAAAACACATGGGATTTGCCACATTTCTGAAATTCGGTGCCACCCCTCACGCAGATCCGCGGGGTCAGGGTCCAAAAACACATGGGATTTGCCACATTTCTGAAATTCGGTGCCACCCCTCACGCAGATCCGCGGGGTCAGGGTCCAAAAACACAGGGATTTGCCACATTTCTGAAATTCGGTGCCACCCCTCACGCAGATCCGCGGGGTCAGGGTCCAAAAACACAGGGATTTGCCACATTTCTGAAATTCGGTGCCACCCCTCACGCAGATCCGCGGGGTCAGGGTCCAAAAACACAGGGGATTTGCCACATTTCTGAAATTCGGTGCCACCCCTCACGCAGATCCGCGGGGTCAGGGTCCAAAAACACATGGGATTTGCCACATTTCTGAAATTCGGTGCCACCCCTCACGCAGATCCGCGGGGTCAGGGTCCACAAACACAGGGGATTTGCCACATTTCTGAAATTCGAACCCATCACGCACATCCATCGCAAGGCGTGGTAACCCAAACTGCGAGAACTCCCTCGGCCCTTTCATCGCAAGGTGTGGTAACCAAGCCCTTAAACCATACACGTCTTACCAATCGCCAGGTGTGGTAACCCCTCTTGTGATCAGTTGGTTTTGCTGATTGCGACTCGGCTTCGCATGAAGTTTCGATACTGCTTCACGACAGCGCCAAGGCCTCATGACTTAGCTCTTCCATGGCCCATTCTCCGAGAGAGGGGGCCGGCGGCAGGGGGCGAAGCCCTTACGGTATTTCTAGGACGGACAACCCAGCCGTGGCGACGAGAGCTCTCCAGGACGAGCAACGGTGTCGGTACCTGTTCTATTTCTGACATCTGCCATACTCTTGCGGAAATGTCCACCCTGCCATTACTTCTCCGAGGCCGAAACCTCCGCCCCACTTCTTCGCATCGCTGGGGATGCATGTCCGACACAATCCTGAATCTCGGCTGCGAGCGAGGGGGGGGAAGTGAGAAGGAGAAGGCCTTCTCAGAAGCCGGCGGGACTTCTCAGAAGCCATCGCGCCTTCTAAGAAGTTGTTGGTGTCTTCGGGGAAGGCTCAACAAACTACTTCTCAAAGGCAGGGGACTTCCGAGCATTCTGAAACGGACTTCTCCATACTTTTCCCCCCCTCGCTCGCCGCCGAGCCCTGAATCGGAAAATCAACCACCTTACGGCGGATCCGGCGTCAGGGATGATGGGCCCATTCTCCACCACCACTACCATAAGTAGGAGAGGGAGAAGGAGGAGGAGGAGGAGGAGGAGGAGGAGGAGGAGGAGGAGGAGGAGGAGAAGGAGGATAGAAGGTAGGAGGAGGATGAGGAGGATGGAGGAGGAGGAGGAGGGGGAGGAGGAAGGGGGAAGGGGGGGGGGTATGGAGGAGGGTGAGAGGAGGAGGAGGGGAGGAGGAGAGGGGAGGAAGGTAGGAGGAGGAGGAGGAGGAGGAGGAGGAGCGGAGGAAGGAGGAGAGGGAGGAGGAGAGGAGGAGAGTAGGAGGAGGAGGAGGAGGAGGAGGAGGAGGAGGAGGAGGAGGAGGAGGCGGATGGAGGAGGAGGAAGGAGGAGGAGGAGGAGAGGGAGGAGGAGGAGGAGGAGGAGGAAGAGAGGAGGAGGAGGAGGAGGAGCTCCTCATCCTCCTGTCTCCCCCGTCCGACCGATGGCCGCAGTGGTGGACCATTCGCCCCAACCCTTCCAGAGCACGCCCCACGGCCCCGGCGAGCCTTGTCCCGGCCCTGCTGGCCGCTGGAGGCGGCGCCCGCGAGGTGCAGCCTGGTCGCCCCGGCGGCGCCCGCGCCCGGGGCCCCGCGCCGCCGGGCGGGGTGCTCCTCCAGGAGGGGCACGGCGACGCCCGCGCCCAGGGCCCCACTTCCCAAATGTTCCCATACCCTGACTCCAGATCCGCCCTACTTTGGGGAAATTCGTAAGTAGGGCTTGGAATTTCCGCCTTACTTTTCAAGCCCCGCTGATGCCAATTTCACGCCCTACTTTTCTGGTGTCGTCTCCGCCCTACTTCTGTGGATTTTCGCCCCATTCTATGCTGGGTGCAGAAATGTCCGCCCTATTTTTGTCGGCTTCTTATAAATGGGTTCCCGACGCAATCTTAAGTTGGAAAAAAAAACCAAAGTAGGGCGGATCTGGAGTCAGGGCATTTTCTGGGGAGTCGACGATTGCTTGTGTCTGTGTGTTTTGTTCCTTCCTGAAGGAGGCCTATCCACCTCCGACGGTCCTGGGCGGGGCGGGCCGGCAGGCCCCGCCTCGGCGACCCGCGGGCGATTGGGGGCCGATGCCCGCCCACCCCCCCGCGGGGCCACGGAACCGTTTATTTTCGTCGTTCGTCGTGTCGTTCGTCCCCCTCGCCCCCCCCCCGTCC